GGCCTAAAGCCGTGTAAGGGGCCCTGAAATTTCTGATGGCTGCCCTGCCCGCAGGCTTCATCTGTACACGGCTTCCCCCGGTGTCTGGCGTTGGTATCTTTTGGTCACCAGGGAGTGAGGCAGATCAGCTTGAGTTCTCAATCCCTGTGGACCATCGATCCCTACTTCAGTGGTCAAAGAAATCCCCCCTTTTTCCCCTGTCAGAGCTTCTAGGATATTAGGGGATTGCCCTCCAGACATGGTCTCCCTTTCTCTTGCAGACCTCAGACCCTTTCAGCCTCTTCCTCTACGTGTCAGAGGGTTTAGGGTGAGACATCCAGATGGTCTCTTTGGAACAAGACGCCCCAGATGCAACTTGTCAGCGCTTTGAAGGGGATGGAGTCACCCCCCCCCTCCCCCTCCCCCATCTAGGACTTCTCTGACCGGTGTCCCCCATACTCAGCACTTTCACCTGGTTCCCAGTTCTTGCTTGGTTGGGGGATTCTCCATCACCCGAGTGCTGCAGGACCTCCACTTTCCCTGCAGCAGGTCGAGTGACCTCCTCCATTAACCCCTTCATGACTGAGCTAGTTTTCAGGTTCTGTTCATAAATGACGGACACGCTTGTTACATTGTTGCTGTGTGATTCTTCCACAGCAGTAATATACTTTCTTACTAAATGTCCCCGCACGTATTATATATTGTTTTTTAGAGGACAGATAGGGCGATATAATTATATCACATATGTGTACCTAACCCCTCACTTAGTTTGAATAAAATAAAAAAAACTAGAAGAAAACACTTTTTTCACAAGTTTTGATTATTATTTTTTTTAGAATTTTTTTATATTAATTATAGTATAAAAAATATATTTATATATAATTTATATTTTCCTTATTTTGTTTTACACTTTATTTTTATTTTTTTACGCTTTGTAAAAAAAAAAAACTTTTGTTTTTCTTGTCAGTCTATATCAAGCAATCACTATGACAGCTCGATAACTTAACTTTTGTATTTTATTTTTGGCTATTAGGCTGATCCAAACTTAGGAACAGCTAATAATAACCTTAGAGACTGATCCTGACTTTAGTAAGATTCAGATCTCACTGAAAGCTCTTTGATCGGCCGAGAGGATCAGAACTGATACATTTCACTCTAAGGATATACATTGTATCTCTTTGGTGAAATGTATCTAAACATCGGGCTCTCCAGCTGTCAAAACAAATAGCAGAGAGGTGAGGCGAGTCACTCCGCTGCCTCTCTGCTATCTTCACCTGTCAGATACGGGATCGCAGATTGCGTCCTCTATTTGCATGTAACGGCTTCATTCTTTCATTACTGAGACATTAATGAATGATGTTAAATGCTGAGAATCGGCTGTTACCGGCATTACAGAGCCCGATAGAACTCGTCACGTACAGTGTAGGTGGCCAGTCATATAGGCACAAAGTGACAGGACGTACACTGTACGTCTCCCGTCACGAAAGGGTTAAGTGTTCTTCTCTTGACCTCCCTGTTGCCACTAGAGACAAGGCATCACCTTCTGGATCTCATCTCCTGATGGGTCCAGCGCCTGGGTGCCCCTCCTTTCCAGCTGGTAACAGGAACCCTGCTGGGGGACAGTGTAGGTTCGGAGGTCTTCGTGGGTCGGGATCACCATTAGGGATTAGCTGCAACCTCTTGAAGAATTGCCCTGCGATTCCCCTCCTCAATCAGTGACTACGATTCCCTCCCCTCTCCTTGGTGGAGGAGGCAGTACTGATCTGAGGGAGGTTGTTGAAGGAACGTTGGGCAGGTTTGCCGTGTTATCCCGAGGAATGGGATGATTTCCGGTATCCATGTTCACCGGTCTGAGTTGCTGTATTCCCTCACCCCTGCCTATCATTTGTATGGGTGCTGCTTAGTCCCCTCCCCCTCCGTCAGACTCACGTTTACCAGTCTTGGGGGTCATTTTGTCTCCTTTCACATATTATACTTTGAGGTCTCTTGCAGCCATTGTTATCTCTGATTGGTGGTCTGCTTGGGCCGCCTCCTTCCTCCATTTTCTCTGAATTCTAAGGGTTGGGGCCTTCTATTGTTGGATGGTCTTCTTTCTGGACTTCTAGTGGTTGGTTCCCTCCAGTGGTTGGTCTGGTTCCCTCCAGTGGTTGGTCTGGTTCCCTCCAGTGGTTGGTCTGGTCTGGTCTGGTTCCCTCCAGTGGTTGGTCTGGTTCCCTCCAGTGGTTGGTCTGGTTCCCTCCAGTGGTTGGTCTGGTCTGGTTCCCTCCAGTGGTTGGTCTGGTCTGGTTCCCTCCAGTGGTTGGTCTGGTCTGGTTCCCTCCAGTGGTTGGTCTGGTCTGGTTCCCTCCAGTGGTTGGTCTGGTCTGGTTCCCTCCAGTGGTTGGTTGTTGCCGGCCAGTGGGCGTAGCGGGGTTGCCGGCCAGTGGGCGTAGCGGGGTTGCCGGCCAGTGGGCGTAGCGGGGTTGCCGGGGAGGGGGGGTAGCGGGGTTGCAGATGATGTAATGCGGTCTCTGTGTCCCTCTTGCAGATCACTGACGGGGAGTTTGATCCCGTCCTCCGGTGTGCGGTGGAGTTTGCCGGCCGGCACGTCTATCGGTGTGATATCTGCAGTCAGAGAGGATTCATCTGCCAGATCTGTAACCACAATGAGATCATCTACCCCTTCCAGCTCGATACAACCAGCAGGTGAGGATCCCTCTATTCCCTCCGACGCCTGTCCCTGTGATCCCTCCGACGCCGGTCCCTGTGATCCCTCTGATGCCTGTCTCTGTGGCCCTCCCTGTATTCCCTCCGACGCAGGTCCCTGTGATCCCTCCGACGCCGGTCCCTGTGATCCCTCTGATGCCTGTCTCTGTGGCCCTCCCTGTATTCCCTCCGACGCAGGTCCCTGTGATCCCTCCGACGCCGGTCCCTATGGCCCTCCCTGTGATCCCTCCGACGCCGGTCCCTGTGGCCCTCCCTGTATTCCCTCCGATGCCGGTCCCTGTGGCCCTCCCTGTATTCCCTCCGATGCCGGTCCCTGTGGCCCTCCCTGTGATCTGAGCAATGCCTCTTGCCTTGTAGATGTGCGGAATGTAAAGCGGTCTTCCATGTTCCATGCCGGGCTGAGCAGACCCAGTGCCCGCGCTGCCTGCGGAGGAGGAGGAGGCGGTACCAGGACCCGGCACTCTATTCTTCTCCATAGACCGGAGTGAAGGAAGATCTGGATCTGGATCATCGTGCTTCAGGAGCCGGGTACATTGTGCTGGGTGGAGTCTCCGACCTCCCAACTGCCCGGACTCGTCTCTCTGTGTGTCGGCGACCTCCATGGTAATCCACCGTCCTCCACCCGTCACCTAATCACAGGTACGAGTCTTCCTAATACGAGGACTGTCCTCCATGGGGGCGTCCACCAGACAGGACCCCCCCCTTCCTAATACGAGGACTGTCCTCCATGGGGGCGTCCACCAGACAGGACCCCCCCTTCCTAATACGAGGACTGTCCTCCATCGCGGCCTCTGCTAGGAGGACCCCCCCGTCCTCTAATCCGGAGGTCTCATGGAGATTTGCTCTTTATTATTTTTATGGGAATATGAAGTTGGAATATTTTTCTAGTTTTCATCTTTTTAATGAACCGCGTGCCTTCCCGACACCAGCCAATCACCATGGAGGAGGGCGGAGCCTCTTCTGTAGAGGAAGTGACCTCACAATGGGGATGCCTCCTGATTGGAGGGATTGTGGAATTTCCTCCTCGCCCAATCACTGTATGACGAGCCGATCCGAACAATTCCTCCGACGTGGGTGCGATGCGAGACCTGCCGTGCTGAGCGGACTCTGGGCCGGGCTCCTCCCCCCCGGGACAGACTCCTCCCCTCCAAGCCCTGCTGAGCGGATTCTCCTCCGGGCTGTGCTGAACGGACTCCTCTAGGCTGGGCTCCTACCCTCTGGACTGGGCTCCTCCCCTTCTCCTCCGGGCCGGGCTCCTCCCCTCCGGGCCGTGCTGAACGGACTCTCCTCCGGGCCGGGCTCCTCCCCTCCGGGCCGTGCTGAACGGACTCTCCTCCGGGCCGGGCTCCTCCCCTCCGGGCCGTGCTGAACGGACTTTCCTCCGGGCCGGGCTCCTGATCAATAGATTGTATTTTATATAGATAAGCGGTCCCTGGATGGGACCTGATATCAGCCTATTACAGGCCCTGTACAGTATGAGAGGAAGAAGCAGCACAAGGGGCCAATCAGTTCATGCTGATAGAAGGAGAGAGCAGAGAGAAAGAGTTGAGCTCCTCACTGTGCTGTTTCTCCTTTCATTGTCCAGTCACTAGGCTGGGGGAGGGCCTAGGGTGACCTGGGCTCAGATGAAGTGGTTTGAATGATGCTGAATCTCTGAATTGAAGGTGAATATTGCCCCATCACGCCCCAGGAGTCCTCCAGCAACTGACCTCTATAAATGCCCCAGGAGTCCTCCAGCAACCGACCTCTATAAATGCCCCAGGAGTCCTCCAGCAACTGACCTCTATAAATGCCCCATCACGCCCCAGGACTCCTCCAGCAACACGGACATTGACCTCCAGTCATGGACGGGATGATGATCCTCAGGTTTCAGTAGGCGGCCATGTTGGACTTAGTGCTCAGTAAAATGGGATTAGTAGTTTCCACCCATCCAGGGCAACGTAACCAATTATAACTTATATTGTGAGAGGCGGAGCTCATATTGTGAGGCGGAGCCCAGAGTGCCAAATGTTTACTAACCAACCGAAACCTTTATAAATTATTCTGATAATAAAGCGGATTTAACACTACGGTGTGTGTGTGGGGTCATTTCATGTCAGCGACAAGCCCCTCCCCCTGGAGGGGGTGATGTCACTCCTGGATAACATACAGCATCTCCCAGAAGC